CTTGGGTTCAGCGGGGGGCGGGTAGATGACTTCATCTATGCGTTTCCGTACACAGTTTGCATAGGCAGTGGAGATGTGGATGAATGCCTCGAGCTGCTGCATCTGCCGGGCCAGCTCTAGAAGTCGCTGCGTGCCCATCGCGTTCAGCTGCAGGGCGTGTCTAAAGAGGGTGGTGGAAAGAAACAACATGCATTTCAGTGGAAAGAATATATCAAAGCTGAGTGTTATCCAAACCCCTGACAACTTCCTTACAAAGAATGAAAAGACAAGTACAGGAAGGGAAGGAGTCACAACAGAGAGAAAAGTTTCAATGAAATGCAAGGGCAAAAACAGTTTTCAGAGCAGTGATACTGGACCCACTCTTCTGGCCACAGAATGCAACTCATATTTTTACTCAGTTCAAAGGATTGGAGGTAACATTCTGCTAAAATCTCTAAATCTGGAAGCATGCCCTCATTGGCATATCTGCTGTCCTCTCCTGGAACAAATACTTCAAACACACATGACCACTGCGGCATTATGGTCCTACAGTCCCCATTTGACAGTCTCCTTAAGGGACCCCTACTAAACCAAATAGAAACGTGGTTTCAGAAAACAGCAAAGGGACCTTGAGCTCGGAAATGCAGATTCATATTGAAAGGAGCTACAACAGAGATGAAAGTTTAAATTCCTAAGGAATAGAGAAGAGGATTGAGAAGCAGGAGAGGAAAAGAGACTGCTGGTCAGCAAGACTGACCTTGAAGCACCCAGCATAGCTAGAAGATGTTCTAGGGATTATTTGCAATAGAGTTCAGTGAACAGAGGTTCAACTTCATTGCATGCTTTGTATTGGAAGAAAGACACTTTCCTCTCTGCAAAGGAAAAGGCTAAGGAAGATGTAATCTGTTCAATCTAGAAGTAGAATCTTTCAATAACATACTCAAGATTATTAAGAATGCTATCTTGTACAGTGTATGCTAAAGAAATGAGTTACACCAGTGTAGATGTCATGATCTGAAGAGAAATTGTACTAGTCCAGATAAATGAAAACAGAATCTAAGAGTATGCTTAGTGTTTGGATCACAAGATCTAAAGCCAGAGATTCTCATTTTTTTAGCATGCTTCTGTTGAGGAATAGCATTTTCTTTTATTTTATAGATTTCTATTTCCTCTTCATTTATCCCTCTTGCAGGATGAATATTTCTAGTTTAGCTTCCCCTCACATGAAAGTTACTCCTCTGTCTGCATCTCTATTACTTTGCATCCCTTCTGAGATGGGGTGAACACAGTTGCACTCAGAATATCACGGAATCACACCCTCTTGCAGGATGAATATTTCTAGTTTAGCTTCCCCTCACATGAAAGTTACTCCTCTGTCTGCATCTCTATTACTTTGCATCCCTTCTGAGATGGGGTGAACACAGTTGCACTCAGAATATCACGGAATCACAGAATCACAGAACGGTTGAGGTTGGAAGGGACCTCTGGAGATCATCTAGGCCAACCCCCCTGCTCAAGCAGGGCCCTCTAGAGCATCTAGAGCCCAGGATCACATCCAGACGGGTTTTGAATATCTCCA